GCGCGTGTGTGTGTGTGCGCGCGCGGCCGCGCGCACGTGTGTGTGTGTGCGCACGTGTGTGTGTGTGTGGGTGCAGCAATAAGATAAGCTATCGACACGGTAACAGCTGTGTATAAACAGGGCAATCTCTGTCGGCGAGCGAGCATACGAGCGAGGCACAGCATACGGTCCAGCGATCACCCCGGCCGTGTTTACACGTCGCGTCACACCTGGCCTGGTTCACCACCAGTCTCTCTAGTCTCCCAGCGTATCTACCTCCCGGCACCTGCGTCTCTAGCTAAGCACCTACCACCTCCCGGCGTAGGATCACCACCTGTATCTCTAGTCTCCCAGCGCATCTCGCTCTCGGCGCAGCATCCTTCTCGCAATCCTCCTCCTCCTCGTCGTCATGTCGAAGGAATCGTTCTCGATGCGAGACCCGGACGCTCCCTCCTCGTCCGTCGCCATCGGTGGCGCCCCCTCGCGACCGACGCTGCTGTGGCCGCTGCTGACGCTGTCGTGCGTAACCGCGGTGATGGCGGCGACGGCCGTCGTCGTCGCGGCGATGAGCTACCGGCACGATCCGCACGTCGTCTGCGTCGTCCGCGGCGACGACGATCTCGCGGGGAGGCTGATGCATCGTGGGATGCACCGCGCAGATCATGTGAGCGGCACGGGAGACGGCGGCGCCCCCTGGCGGCGGGCTGCAGTCTTTGCGGTAGATTTTGTTCAGATTGTGTCGTAAAGCGGAAATCGAAATCTTCGATAATCGTGAATCGGCCGTCTTTTTTTGTTTCTGATATATTTGCGAGACGGACGAGAGGTCCGGATAGTGCGGCCATAATCAGGATTCCGCCCGTGATTTCTGCTTGAACCCATTTGCCCGCCCTGGCCTCGCGTCGTCCTAGCGTTTCCCTTCCCGCTTCCCCCGTCCGTCCACGTATGATCGTCCGACCGCCCCCAGACCTCGATCACACGGCTCCTTCAACGGTCCGGACGAGAAGCGAAGCTGAGATTTTGTTGGATTTATCTCGAGTACGGCCAGACGCGCCGTCTCGCCGGGATGCGGTCGGATGTCGCGCAATGTCGAATCCCCCGTCGTCTTCATTGTTGCGATCTCTCGTCTCTCTTGCAGGAAGACGCGTCTCGAGCGGCCATGACCTCTAGCGGCGGCAGTCCGCTGACCACGCACGTGCTGGACACGTCGACGGGAACTCCGGCCGTGGACCTCCCCATCACGCTGTACGTGCGCGACGGCGCGGGCAGGAAGGACGACGACGGCGGAGCGTGGAAGCGTCTCGCGGCCGGGTACGTGCGAAGTGGTGGCGATGTCGGCAGTCCGTCTGTCCGTGCGTACGTCCATCCCTCTCTTCCTCTATCCGTTCGTCCTTCCCTCCCTCTCTTCCTCTATCCGTCCGTTCCTCCTCCCTCTCTTCCTCTATCTGTCCATCCGTCCGTCACTCCCTCCCTTCCTCTATTCATCGGTCTGTCCGATCGTCCGTCCGACTGACCGTCTGTCTGTCCGTTCGTCCCTCTGTCTGTCCGTCCCTCCCTCCCTCTCTTCCTCTATCCATCCTTTCATACCTCCCTCCCTTCCTCTATCCGTTCGTCCGTCTATCCCACGGCCTTGGACCAGCGACTGTTAATGCGGAGTTATCTCTTCAGATTTTCTTTGATTTTACTATAGTTTACATAATAGTGTTGGAGGTAAAAGCAGCCCCCCCTCGGTGTAGGATTTGTAACCTTTGATGCAGGTCTTGGCTGATTTTCGTCGATTTTACTACATGGGTTATATTAGTACAAATCGGAAGTTTCCGAAATTGTAACCGGCCGGGTTTTCGTATTTGCTTTCTAGACATTCCGATTTTTTTTATTTATTTAAGAAGAAAAAGCACGCGAGATATTTGCCTGAGGGTTTAGTTGGTACTGTAGGATGCCTGCTCGCGACTGTGATGCACGATTGAGTGCATGCGTGAGAGAGCATACTGGCATGTCTTAAAAAGTCAGCGGGTGCGAAAAAGATTACGTCTAGTGTAGCAAGGTGTGATGATTGAGTGAGTGGTTTGACAGTGGCAGCATTGTAAAGACTTTGTGGGTCAAACTGCACATGATACGTAGCTCATACATGTAGGTTAAGGTGTTAAGGTGCGAACTAACGTGTGTGACATCCACTAGAATGTACAGCAGGGTGTTAGCCAGGAAAACAAATCAGGGAGTCTCACCATCTGAGCGAAGCGAGGATGCTGCAGGCGCGAAGCACCCTAGGGGGGAGGGCCTTACCTTAAAATGGAGGAAATTTATTCTGAAATGCCAAACAGACAGGAATCTGATATGATTTTATATTCTTATAAGCACTGTTGTCAGTTATACAAGGTGTATAATATATAAAGTTGGGTCGCCTTCATGCCGTCTCTATCAAATTTCATCCGTTTCATTCAAGAATAGGCCGTCCAAAAGACGGGTAGACGGGTCTCTGGCTAACACTCTGATGTACAACTAGGGTGTGAACTGAAATGTACAACGTGTAGGTGAGAGTGGTAGTAAAGCTATGATGTGGTTAGGGCTAGGGTTGACGTTAGGGTTGGGGTTAGGATGAGGTTATGTTTATGCTCATGATGAGTTCATGGCTGGTGTTAGTGTTAGGGTTAGGGTTGAGGTTAGGATGAGGTTATGTTTATGCCCATGATGAGTTCATGGCTGGTGTTAGTGTTAGTGTTAGGGTTGACGTTAGGGTTAGGGTTAGGATGAGGTTATGTTTATGCTCATGATGAGTTCATGGCTGGTGTTAGTGTTAGGGTTAGGGTTAGGGTTAGGGTTAGGATGAGGTTATGTTTATGCTCATGATGAGTTCATGGCTGGTGTTAGTGTTAGGGTTAGGGTTGACGTTAGGGTTGGGGTTAGGATGAGGTTATGTTTATGCCCATGATGAGTTCATGGCTGGTGTTAGTGTTAGGGTTAGGGTTGACGTTAGGGTTGGGGGTAGGATG